TAATCCCGAGGGGAAGTCCTTGGATGCGAGGATGTGGGATGCCAGTAGCTGTTTGATTGCCCGGGAGGAGTATCACATCTCCATAAAGTTCACAAGGCCCGGGGCTTAAATAAATGTTTATTTTAAGCAATGGCCAGACATTAAAATGCAAAACTTAAAGACTGTCAAAGAGCTTTAACAAACGTTCTCGCGAGCAACATAATACATTTAGTTTACATTTACACCCCTTGCATACAATGCCTTTCATCAATTTTGAATATACAGTCTTGATTCTTTGCTTTCTAGCTAGAAGTGGAAGCCAACGTAAATCTTGGATTTCAAACTTTAAGTTTCCCGGCAGCCGGAGTCAATTTGCAATTAGATCTTATCCAAAGCAGATGGACACCCAGGACACGGGGATTTGAACAAGGTCCCGCATAAAAAACTAAACACGCAGCAATCAATCGATTAAAAAAGGGCAAAGAGGAAAGTTTGGGCGATGGCTAGTCGGAGGCGAATGCGGACAATGGGCCACCTATGGTGTCCAGGTCGAGGTCCTGCCGGAAGGACGCCCCAGGGACCCGCAGCCAGCTCAAGGAAGTCGCCTGGCTGGCTTTTGTCTAATGCGGTGCTTATCTTGATATTATTTGGCCATAAAAAAGGACACGGACACATGTTCATGAAGGGGCGTGGATAACACTGGGAGAAACGTTCCACATCATCTGATTAGGAATAGCAGGTACATTTGTTTTTGGTAAGCATTTTATTCGTTAAATCCGTATTTTGTATGCCTATTCCAGAGCTGCTTGCTGATTGAATGCAAAATATGCCAAAATCATCGTAAAACCGAGACACCAAGACGTTCCTAAAATCTTTGACATTCTGCAGCCATTTTTCGGCTGAAACCGAATCCTCCAGCCAAGTCATTCTCCTCCGAAGGGCCAGGAAAATTGCAGCATTTCACATGTCACAACGAGGGCGATTTCCCTGCCCATATAAAATGGACCATGTCGAATCCTGCGGGTTCCGTTGATTTGCTCCCCCGAAAAAATAGCACAGCCACGCGCGTTTCAAATCCCTTTAGTTACACTGTTTCAAAATTAAATATTTACATTTTGTATGCGGAGGCGGATGCGGAGGCGGATGCGGATGCGGCGGGCATGAGGCCTGAATCTCGATTCACATGTGGGTGTTTTGGCCGGAATGGCGGCATCTCGATACTGGATACTGCCATCTAACCGGTGGTGGCTGCAACTCCGTCAGCTGGTCGGGAGCACTTGTCGTGGTCAGAGGCGCAGTTCTTCAGGGGCAAATTCGTTGCAGATATGTGACATTTTTAAGCCGAGACGGCAGACGGCAGTAATAACGCTCCTTGCCCACGAAGTAAGGCAAAAAGCATTCCATAAGTTGTTCCATCTAATTCATTACACTCCTGGCAGCACTGGCCTTGGCCGAACCCCATTGAAGGACGCCCCTGCCAGGCACATATGAGCTCGGATCATCAATTCCCCGCTGGCCGGATGGGGTGGTGGCCACCATGCAGTTTCCGATGCGCGTTTATTTAGTAATTTGTTTGTCTCCCGACTTAGTCACGGTTTATGGTTGACATTTATTTTATGAGCGTGAAAAATATATCACTCGCCAGTGGCAGCCAGGCGGGGTTGCAGGCACCTGCCTGCTGCACCACCCACTCCACCACCCACGTGCACCACTTAAACCAATTTTGATAGCGGCTTATTGATGGTCGAGCGAATGGCGAATGGCGAATGGCGATTTGCGCGTTAGTCTCGCTCGAGCTGGCTGATTGAATCAGTGCGGAAGTGGGACGAGGACAAGATCGATGGGCAGTTCGTGGCCAGGCGAGTCGGATCCTAGCACTTGATGCTGGCAAGTTCCCCAGTTGGCATTATGGGTTTTTGAGCAGTGGAATCGGTTTAGAAACGCCGGATCGACCAGGCTTCAGATGGGAGGAAATGGGAAATGTCGTCTGAATTTCTCTACGTTGGGCACTTCCTTTAGCGAGTATTGTTAACCGCTGCTGGGCCCATCAATTATGCCGGGCGGTTCCTTACAAACTTATTGGCCTATAAACTAATCGCATAATTGCACAAAAGTAATTATCCTTGGGCTGAGCCTACGCTAGCTCATTGTGCAGCAACTATGCGGCACATCCTATATCCTGCATCCTTAGGCTCAGGCCCTGGTGCTTAGCCCTCATCCCCTGGCGCTCTGATTCTTCCACCTTGCTGGCCAACTATGCGGCTCATCCGCTCCGCTGAACGCCGCCAGAAGGAAGTGCCGTGCAGGCCTCAAATCGCAGGACGCAGGACGCAGGACGCAGACTGCAGGACTCAGATCGCTGCGAAACAGTTGGAAAAACACAGCGGGCCAAACAGCACAAACAAACACAAGGACAGCTCTTTGTTTGCGGAAAGCGAAAGAGAGGTGAAATTAAAATCAAGCTGTTGATAGCAATCACACACTCCCGGCTGCCCGAAGTGAGTAGGTACACTGCGAAAAATCGTGTGGTCTTGATGATTAATTTAATGCTCCTAGCTTTGTATGCCTAACCAGCCTCCGTAAGCTGCCATCATTCCCAAGAATGATTAAGGAGACCACGATTCTTGCAGTGCACGTGTCCTGGCTGTCGTCTCCACAACTCCGATGACGATGCCAGGAGAGTGGGTTGCATGCATCACTAGCTGTCACATGGCCAACTGCCTTGGCTTCCGCTTTCGGCCAATCTGCGACTGTCATCCATCATTCCGTTTACTGGATGCTTGCCATTTCTCTGGCTCCCGAATCTCCGCCTCCTCATCTGCATCTCCAGAAACAAGGCCAGGTAGGGTAAAGTGGTGCAGTTGGGGTTGACATCCTCAAGTGTTCCAGTGCTCATTGTTCGCCGATTTGCGCTTGTCGAGCGTGCAGTAATTAAGTTGAAGTTGCACAGTAGATCCCCGATAAGCGAGGGATCAGGATACGGCCACGGTGGTTAGGGATAATCCCCAGGGATCAAAAGGATGTGGCCCCCGATCCTTTGTGCCCATTTTGGGCATCAATCGGGCAATTGGATTGACATTATCGGATCGTAGGATGAGGATCTGCTTCGAAACTATTGTGACCCGCGTTAATTGATTCGTAAGGAATCATTGATAATATTTCGTCGTACTTAAGCTTAAGCTGCCTTATTTGGACTTTGAATCGATGCTGTGATAGATCCTTTTACAATAATTTGAAAACGATCACAGCTAACAGTGCAAAAGCGCCGAGTTATTCGAAGTCATGAAGGTAATCACTGCCTGCTGCCTTTAAGCTACTCATTACGTCTATCTAATCAAGCTTGGCCATTAGTGATCGATATTTGCCCCACCAAACGGTAAAGATCCGCAACGAAGATCACTCTATTCTCCCCCTTTTTCCGAACTCTCTGCATTTGTGGCCAATTAGCTGCTGCCACAAAATGAAATCATTTCTCACAGCTATTGCTGGCTGGGCAAAAGTAATTAATTGGGCAGAATTATTTCCCCCGTCCGCTGCCCTCTCTCTGCCGCTCTTCCCTCGCCCGAGTGATTCTCCAAACGGACAGCCAATCGAAGCGAGAGTCGCCATCCGCCAGAGTGCAAGAAGACTGGAGAATCGGCGAAAGACTGGGCCCGAAGACTGCTCTCGAGGACTGAATGCGACTGCAACCGAGAGAAGCGCATACTTGCCAAGGCAATTATCGAATGCCAGCGTGTCAGCCTCGACTCCCGATTCTTCGGCTACCCCGAAAGCCCCGCTCGTGGCGCAGCCCCCGATTCTCCAGTCTTCGTAGATTCTACCACTGGAGCGTCGCCAGGGCGTCGCCGGTTGGGAGAAGCGGGACTTTCGGCCGTCTGCAGTTTCAGTTTCCCTGACGCCAACAACGCCTCATCGTGTTTGTTTGGCCGCCAGAGCCGTCAGAGCCGCCACCGCAGCGACGCCAGCACCACCACTAGCTCCAACAGCCCGAACAGCACCACCACCACCAGCACCAGCACCACTGCCTGCGCTGCGAGCGACAGTGATGATCATTTGGCTTGGGTTTCAGATGCTAAATCTAAGGATGATCAAGAAATACTAGTAGTAGGCATATATACCTCACACTAAATTAGGTAAATCTTTAATGAAAATACCTGCTTTACGATGCTTATTATTGAGCTTTTTTCCACAAGCAAAGCATTGAGATATTTAAAGGAAATTGAATCGTATAACTTGTGGACCTTAGCGATATGTAAGAGAAGGAGAAATTAAATTTATGCAATATTTTCTCCTAGTTTTCAGGTGCAACCATGCCATCTCTGGCTGGCTAAATGGCTCTACGCAACTGCGACTCTTCGTTGCCCCAAATTGGCCTTGAGGCAATGATTGGCTGTCGCTGCTGCCCAGATGCCGGCACCAACCCCCTCCCCCAGTGGACCACCCCCCTGGCCGCTCCAAGAGCCCCAACCCCCCTTCTTGCGTTTCTTTCGCACTGATCTCAGCTGTCGTCGCTTGTTAGTGCGCACGCGTGTCTCTCTCCCTCTAAGAAGCAGACAGCGCGTGTGTTCCCCTCTCCCTCTCCCTCGCACTCAACGTCCGCCCAGTCGCGTCCTCTCGCTCACTCCGCCAGCGCTCCCGCTCGCACCCATCACGATCGTGAGGCGTTGGTGGCGATGGCGCTGAAGCTGGCGCGCATGCGCAACGCAACCACAAAATCGCAATTGCCGGGGCCAAAAACCAAAATGAAAAAAAGAGGGGAAAAAAAGAGGAAAAGAGCAAGTAAAAGCTCGTTGTAAGACATAGTTTGTTGCCAGAGTCGACTCCCCCCAAGCCCCCCACCCTGCCCGCGCCACTGTGCCCCTGTGCCCCTGTGCCCCTGTGCCTGTGTGTGCGGGACCTCCCGCAGATAATTGCCCATCATCTCATCAAGTTCCGCCCAGCTATTTAACAAGCGAGGAGCAGGAGCCGCAGGAGGACGTTGGGGCCCGAGAGCAATGAAACCCACAAAACAAGACACCAAAATGATGAACGCGACCACGCAAAGTAGAAGTAGCTGCCCGATCTGGGAGTCGAGGACGGAGTCTGGCTCCAGACCATAAAATCCCGAGGGCGGAACCGTGAGTTGTAGCTTAGCCACAACTTTCTTTAATAAGAAATATGCCTTGTCCCGTAATAAATACAACACATTTTTATCTAAGAAATTCGCATATATTTATTGAATTATATATATACAGTTCAGTAATTAGAGTCGAGTACCCTTGGTTTTTCAAATCTTAAGTCTATTTTATAAAGAGCTTTTCATACTCGGCTCTTGCAGGTTCGGGAACTTCTCGAGCGCCCTTGGGCTGGCGCCACCAACATTGAGCAGCAGCTTGGGGCGGCGACTGCAGATCGGCTCCAAATCGCAGCAGTCCAGGTTGCAGCTCCATTGCAACCACAGGCATCAATAGCACCACCGACGACGAAAAGGCAGGAGAAGACCAAGGAGATCCAAGCATGTTAATCGAGTCATATCGATTTTGGCGTGGTTCGTGTCTCGGACGTTTTGCCCAACCGCCGTCCTTCGCCCCCAAAAGGGGGAGGGGCCGATCCCATCAGCGGACTCGTAACTAAATTGAATCCAATTGCAGACGAGTCCGGCCGAATAACTGTGAGACATAATGAATGAGTGTTGGCCAAATTGCAACTTGGCTTGCCAGCCGGCCAGTTAAGGGTTAATGGATGGCCACCAAGGGGAGTTTGGAGGGTCCAGGCGGTGGTGCTCTGCTTCTTCCAGTTTACGGCCCAGTCACTAATATCTCAATTGGCCAGCGGAGGGTTCGCTTAACTGCCCCATTGGGCCACCCACCTGGGGCATCTGCACCTGTCCACGTCGTTTCCGACTTTCCTGATCCTCCTTGTCCTGTTCCCGATACCGACTCCTGCAGGAGAAGAAATCACAATGTTTCTAAATGTTCTTATTCGTTTAGCTTTGTAGCATATTTGCATAACATCGTTTTTCTGATTTTCCGTCAAAAAATAATCCGATTTTTAGCCAGAACATTAAAAATAATGCTTCAAATATTGAATGTCATATCTCGTTAAGCGTAATTAAATTCCTAACCGACTGACGTTCAAATTTGTAAACTTTCATTTCTTGCCAACTTTTGCAAATTTTCAAAAATGTATTAAGTTAACAGGAATTCCAGAAGGTGACCAACGAGCAATTGGTTACTTGGTTTTCAATAGAAACCTGATTATGATCACCTGGTGGCGAAATTCGAAAAAGTCAAAAAATATGCCATAAAAATGTGCATTTTGTCGGCAAAATTTTGAGATTTTTCGGTTTGAGTTACCAGGCGAACAGGAATTCCAGAAGGTGACCAACGAGCAATTGGTTACTCGGTTTTCAATAGAAACCTGCTGCTGATTATGATCGCCTGGTGGCAAAAATCGAGAAAGTCCAAAAATATGCCATAAAAATGCGCATTTTGTAGACAAAATTTTAAAATTTTTCGGCTTAAGTTACCAGGCGAACAGGAATTCCATAAGGTGACCAACGAGCAATTGGTTACTTGGTTTTCAGTAGAAACCTGCTACTGATCATGATCGCCTGGTGCCAAAAATCGAACAAAAACACAAATTTGCCATAAAAATGCGCATTTGTAGGCAAAATTTTAAAATTTTTCGGTTTATGTTAACAGACGAACAGGAATTCCAGAAGGTGACCAACGAGTAATTGGTTACTTGGTTTGCAGTAGAAACCTGCTACTGATTATGATCGCCTGGTGGCAAAAATCGAAAAAGTCCAAAAATATGCCATAAAAATGCGCATTTTGTAGGCGAAATTGTGAGACTTCGGTTTAAGTTACCAGGCGAACAGGAATTCCAGAAGGTGACCAACGATCGTTTGGTTTTCGGTAGCAACCTGCTGCTGATTATGATCGCCTGGTAATTCAATCCGAAAAGTCTACAATTTGCGATAAAAATGTATATTTTGTAGGCAAAATTGTGAGATTTTTCGGTTTGAATTACCAGGCGAACAGGAATTCCAGAAGGTGACCAACGATCGTTTGGTTTTCGGTAGCAACCTGCTGCTGATTATGATCGCCTGGTAATTCAATCCGAAAAGTCTACAATTTGCGATAAAAATGTACATTTTGTAGACAAAATAGTGAGATTTTTCGGTTTGAATTACCCCTTACAAAAATGCGATGTACATAGTTTTTCTTTAAGCCTGATTTTTTGATTAAATATTATCAGTTTTTTGTTCACAGCAGCTAAAATATTGGTCTGATTGTAGAATGTCATACCTCGTTGAATTCGCTATAAAATTTGCCATCGAATAGCATTCTAGGTTTAAAATGTTGAATTTTGGCCATTTTTCGCAAAAAATTATGATGTTACCCCTTACAAAAATGCGATGTACATAGTTTTTCTTTAAACCTGAATTTTTGATTAAAAATTATCAGTTTTTTGTTCACAGCAGCTAAAATATTGGTCTGATTGTGGAATGTCATACCTCGTTGAATTCGCTATAAAATTTGCCATCGAATAGCATTCAAGGTTTAAAATGTTGAATTTTGGCCATTTTTCGCAAAAAATTATGATGTTACCCCTTACAAAAATGCGATGTACATAGTTTTTCTTTAAACCTGAATTTTTGATTAAAAATGATCAGTTTTTTGTTCACAGCAGCTAAAATATTGGTCTGATTGTGGAATGTCATACCTCGTTGAATTCGCTATAAAATTTGCCATCGAATAGCATTCAAGGTTTAAAATGTTGAATTTTGGCCATTTTTCGCAAAAAATTATGATGTTACCCCTTATAAAAATGCGATGTACATAGTTTTTCTTTAAACCTGATTTTTTGATTAAAAATTATCAGTTTTTTGTTCACAGCAGCTAAAATATTGGTCTGATTGTGGAATGTCATACCTCGTTGAATTCGCTATAAAATTTGCCATCGAATAGCATTCAAGGTTTAAAATGTTGAATTTTGGCCATTTTTCGCAAAAAATTATGATGTTGCCCCTTACAAAAATGCGATGTACATAGTTTTTCTTTAAACCTGATTTTTTGATTAAAAATTATCAGTTTTTTGTTCACAGCAGCTAAAATATTGGTCTGATTGTGAAATGTCATACCTCGTTGAATTCGCTATAAAATTTGCCATCGAATAGCATTCAAGGTTTAAAATGTTGAATTTTGGCCATTTTTCGCAAAAAATTATGATGTTGCCCCTTACAAGAAATGCAAAATTTTTGGAAAAAAATTATTCTTTCAAAATCAGCAGGAAAGTGATAGGGATCGTTAGTTGGGATCATTAGCTGTTCAAAACAGTAATTTTTATGGCTGTGTGAAGCTGTTTGACCAAGTTATGGTTTTACACCCCCGGGATGTACATAGTTTTTCTTTAATCCTGATTTTTTGATTGAAATGGTTACTTGGTTTTCAGTAGAAACCTGCTACTGATTATGATCGCCTGGTGGCAAAAATCGAAAAAGTCCAAAAATATGCCATAAAAATGCGCATTTTGTAGGCGAAATTGTGAGACTTTTCGGTTTAAGTTACCAGGCGAACAGGAATTCCAGAAGGTGACCAACGAGCAATTGGTTACTTGGTTTTCAGTAGAAACCTGCTACTGATCATGATCGCCTGGTGCCAAAAATCGAACAAATTCACAAATTTCCCATAAAAATGCGCATTTTGTAGGCAAAATTTTTCGGTTTATGTTAACAGACGAACAGGAATTCCAGAAGGTGACCAACGAGTAATTGGTTACTTGGTTTGCAGTAGAAACCTGCTACTGATTATGATCGCCTGGTGGCAAAAATCGAAAAAGTCCAAAAATATGCCATAAAAATGCGCATTTTGTAGGCGAAATTGTGAGACTTCGGTTTAAGTTACCAGGCGAACAGGAATTCCAGAAGGTGACCAACGATCGTTTGGTTTTCGGTAGCAACCTGCTGCTGATTATGATCGCCTGGTAATTCAATCCGAAAAGTCTACAATTTGCGATAAAAATGTACATTTTGTAGACAAAATAGTGAGATTTTTCGGTTTGAATTACCCCTTACAAAAATGCGATGTACATAGTTTTTCTTTAAGCCTGATTTTTTGATTGAAAATTATCAGTTTTTTGTTCACAGCAGCTAAAATATTGGTCTGATTGTGGAATGTCATACCTCGTTGAATTCGCTATAAAATTTGCCATCGAATAGCATTCAATGTTTAAAATGTTGAATTTTGGCCATTTTTCGCAAAAAATTATGATGTTACCCCTTACAAAAATGCGATGTACATAGTTTTTCTTTAAACCTGAATTTTTGATTAAAAATGATCAGTTTTTTGTTCACAGCAGCTAAAATATTGGTCTGATTGTGGAATGTCATACCTCGTTGAATTCGCTATAAAATTTGCCATCGAATAGCATTCAAGGTTTAAAATGTTGAATTTTGGCCATTTTTCGCAAAAAATTATGATGTTACCCCTTATAAAAATGCGATGTACATAGTTTTTCTTTAAACCTGATTTTTTGATTAAAAATTATCAGTTTTTTGTTCACAGCAGCTAAAATATTGGTCTGATTGTGGAATGTCATACCTCGTTGAATTCGCTATAAAATTTGCCATCGAATAGCATTCAAGGTTTAAAATGTTGAATTTTGCCCATTTTTCGCAAAAAATTATGATGTTACCCCTTACAAAAATGCGATGTACATAGTTTTTCTTTAAACCTGATTTTTTGATTAAAAATTATCAGTTTTTTGTTCACAGCAGCTAAAATATTGGTCTGATTGTGGAATGTCATACCTCGTTGAATTCGCTATAAAATTTGCCATCGAATAGCATTCAATGTTTAAAATGTTGAATTTTGGCCATTTTTCGCAAAAAATTATGATGTTACCCCTTACAAAAATGCGATGTACATAGTTTTTCTTTAAACCTGAATTTTTGATTAAAAATGATCAGTTTTTTGTTCACAGCAGCTAAAATATTGGTCTGATTGTGGAATGTCATACCTCGTTGAATTCGCTATAAAATTTGCCATCGAATAGCATTCAAGGTTTAAAATGTTGAATTTTGGCCATTTTTCGCAAAAAATTATGATGTTACCCCTTATAAAAATGCGATGTACATAGTTTTTCTTTAAACCTGATTTTTTGATTAAAAATTATCAGTTTTTTGTTCACAGCAGCTAAAATATTGGTCTGATTGTGGAATGTCATACCTCGTTGAATTCGCTATAAAATTTGCCATCGAATAGCATTCAAGGTTTAAAATGTTGAATTTTGGCCATTTTTCGCAAAAAATTATGATGTTGCCCCTTACAAAAATGCGATGTACATAGTTTTTCTTTAAACCTGATTTTTTGATTAAAAATTATCAGTTTTTTGTTCACAGCAGCTAAAATATTGGTCTGATTGTGAAATGTCATACCTCGTTGAATTCGCTATAAAATTTGCCATCGAATAGCATTCAAGGTTTAAAATGTTGAATTTTGGCCATTTTTCGCAAAAAATTATGATGTTGCCCCTTACAAGAAATGCAAAATTTTTGGAAAAAAATTATTCTTTCAAAATCAGCAGGAAAGTGATAGGGATCGTTAGTTGGGATCATTAGCTGTTCAAAACAGTAATTTTTATGGCTGTGTGAAGCTGTTTGACCAAGTTATGGTTTTACACCCCCGGGATGTACATAGTTTTTCTTTAATCCTGATTTTTTGATTGAAATGGTTACTTGGTTTTCAGTAGAAACCTGCTACTGATTATGATCGCCTGGTGGCAAAAATCGAAAAAGTCCAAAAATATGCCATAAAAATGCGCATTTTGTAGGCGAAATTGTGAGACTTTTCGGTTTAAGTTACCAGGCGAACAGGAATTCCAGAAGGTGACCAACGAGCAATTGGTTACTTGGTTTTCAGTAGAAACCT